CCATAGTACCGACACCCATAGACTCCTTATTTCCGCTTCTGCCTAATGATGACAGGGATCGGTCCTTTCTTCAGCAGGAAATGAGCAGAGAAGCAGAGGTCAGTGCTGATGCATTATCCCCAATTACACAACCTGCCTTTCTGTAACAGGTCGCTGCAAAGGAAAAGATCGTGTACGCAGACAACCACTCTCCTCTCCCGCGTTCTCCCTCCTAAACATCGCTCAGACCTGCTGGCCAATTTCAAGCAGATTTGACAGCGCATCAGTACTGTCCAGGGTATTTTGTGCAGACTGGTGAACAGAGAGGAAGAAGGACACACTCCTCCTCCCACAGGACGATTCAGAAACTACTGCGGAGGCAGAGGAGTTTCAGTCACTAATCAGGTCACAGAATTTGTCACTCACCAGAGAATCTGTCCACAGCACAAAGCCCCAGGAAAAAACATCAGACTTTATTCTGTTATTTATGGACTTCTTTTTCATTACTGATATTAACACCTCCTTAACCTTAGAACCAAGTCCTGGTTTTTACCATTATCTTCCCAGTTTCTCTTCCCAGTGACATATGGCTGGTGCCAGGAAACATGCAACAACGAAAGCTTATTATCCTGGGGAAAAAAAGAAAGGGAAAAAAAAAAAAAAAAAAAAGACTACCTCCATTTAGTGCACACGATGGATCTCACTTCCAGAGAAGCCAAATGCTTCATCCACTTCAACAGGGCAACACAGAAACAGAGACTACAAACAGGGAGCAGCAAGTACAAGAGAACAAAGAGCAGAAAAGCAGGAGGCTGGAGCTCACCGTCCAGAAACAGATGGTAGCAAACAAACAAAAGGAAAAACACAACCACAGAACCTGGAAAATGATAGGTCTGTATAGTTAACCCCATTTCTTTGACCTACAGATTTCTTGAGACAGACAGATTTGAGACCGCCTTCCTCACTGACATGCCTCTAATGGAACAGACATTAAAATGACCTTCAAGTGACAACTCGCCGCAGGATAACCATGACAAATGCAGCCAGATAGTCATCTCCACCTTGTCTGCAGACACGAGGTGACATACGGTAATACGCTCGTGTCAAAAGAGGGAAAATGCTGGACGGTCTTTCTAATGGGTTTGTCCGTAGCAAAAGGACCCACCGGGGATCTAACTTACAGGGGGAGGACTTGACGGAATGAGCTTACGAGGGAGCTGTGCGCACACGTGCATGTGTGTCTACTCTGTGGGCAAGTTGCCTAAGGAAAGTACATCCAGTTCTGTTTTTACAGGAAAAGTCACCGTATTCTTGTAAAATGAAGCAGAGAATAGATTTAGGACTTCTGTTACTCTACAAACAGAAAAATAAAGCAGAAAAACAATAGCACCCATAAAGCAAACCATAAAAAAACCCTCACAGTTTTGCAAAGATGAAAAGAAAACGCGATTCCATGCCCAAATTACCATGTGACGAGAATAAGTGTTATTCTGGATGAAGCTAGACTTAATGTGGTGGGCAGACACCTCGGGCCACAGAGGAGAAGACTGGGAGCGAAGCGTCTCACTTTACTCTCTGCTTGCAGAGGAGTAAAACGAGGCCTCAGAAGTAGCACAAACCCCACACAGATGTGCATTAAAAAAAATACTAGAGTTGGGAACCCAAAGAGCAACATGCGTTCAGTGTCTTTATCTTTTGGGGTGAACGTACTGAACTTTTTTTTTTTAAAGGACAGAGCTTGGGAAAAACAGAGAGTAAGCTTCCATGAGCACTTTTCTGGGGGAAACCAGTGAATTTGACTTGCTCTATTGGATCTCTTAGAGTTCAGTAGCGTGAGGGACCATCTCAGCTTCCAAAGGGTAAGACAGACTTGACCCTCCAGGGTTTGGATCTGCATCTTTGGATGCTCTCTCTGTTTTACAAGATTTCAGGGTGGCTAGGAGAAACTTTGATGGTACTTTGAAAAGTGACATGACCTTAAAGCAGATCTAGCAAACGGGCCTATTCTGGCTTGCCACAACAGGGACAATTCAGGAGATTCGTGCATTTTTAAGCAGAAGGAATTACTATGATCATCTAACTGATGTCCTGCATAACCATACGTATTGGCCTGTGCGATCATCTAAAAGTAACTTACAGCAACTTCTCTGAGCAAATTAGTCATCTTGACCATTTCAATTCAACAGACCAGACCAACATAGGGAGACGCGAGGAGCGTGACGGACCGTGTGAGGTGCAAACATACGCAAAAGGCCAGAGTCCACAACGCAGTAATAAAGCAGTGCAGGACAACCTCAAAAAGCCAGAGGAATGTTTCCATCACGTAAGAAACTATCCAAACCCTAGCTGCGACCTGCTAAGATCTGCCACAAAGAAACCCTCAGCACCAGAGCAACCAACCCCATGTCTTTAGTAGTTATTATAAAGGCTTTTAATTTTGTTTTATCCCTGGTCCTCTTCCTGGCTGGACTGCTGCTGCTAGCTGAGTGGTCAGGCATGTGCCTGGTGATGGAAGCTCATCTCCTGCTACATTTTCCCCATTGTATTTGCACTTGATATCCAGACCCCTTTGAGTCCACAATGCTAGAAAAGGTAGGAGGTCCTAAACTGGCCCTGGAGCATACAAGCAAACAGACTTTTATTCCAACCAGAGACATGTCACTGGTTTATACCAACCAGGAGAGCAAAGCCATTCCTCACCCCTTGAACTTCAGTATTTCTCAGCTGTGGTATCTCCTTCCCAAGTGGCCCTTTAAAACAAACAGGAATAACAGGAAGGAGGAGGTGCTGGGACAGCTACAGAAAAAGGGTCATAAATAAATAAATCCCAGTTGAATACCAACTGCTCAGCACCAGGCCTGCCTGTGGTCAACACTTTCAAGGAGAACAATAATGAATAAATGAATCAGGCCTTGCTAGAGCTAAACTTTCCCACTTTTCACCACTCAGGAGACTGTCCCAAACCTTGTGTCATCCAGAGATTACATGAACCCCAAACATAAATCCAAGCAGCATTTCTTCCTTGAAAATCCTCGGGCCCCATTAGTTAACCTAGAGCTCAGTTCAGTCCATGGCAGACTCCTGCTCCTGCCAGACCACCTCCCAGAAGGAAGAACAGATGTTCTGAGCCGCTGGATTACACACACACAAGTGAAAACAGATTTAACAACAGCAACCTGATCCAGACTTAGTAAGCAAATTTAAAAAACCCAAAACAAACAGAAATTGTTTGTTACAGCCATGGAAAGATTATTGTGTGTTCTGCCTCTTACATGGGATGACATATTTTGGAGGACAGTGAGGGAAACAGAGTATTTAAACACAGGCAACTTATCATAACGCAAAACTCTACAGCAGACTCGCTCAGGATCTTCTCATCGCAGGATCGAAGGGCACAAGATGAACAAACAGTCAGCTAGAGTGATACGAATGACCAAGATGGAAGAACACAACTCATTTCAGATACAGAAATGTTTAATGGCGTTAAAGTGCTACTTTAATGGGGACCATATGCTAACATTTAAACACAATTCCACTGCACTGCTAAATATGGTTGTCTTTATTTTTTTTATTTTATTTTACCTCTTTTTGCCCAACCTTACCTAAAACAATAAAATAAAATCTAAAGGACTGAAATTAACAACCCATTCAAATCAGCAATAAGTTATGAATTTTATAAAGCATTTTCTCCTCTTTTTTTTCCTTAGTAATGAGGGGTAGTTAAATTACTTAAAGATATACAAAGTTTCAAACAATGCCATAGGTGAGGACTCTATTAAGGTTTTTAAAACTTGGAAAACAAAATAATCCTGGCCATTAAAAAGACAAAAATAAAAAAGCAAAGCCCTCAAAGTGCAGGTTAGAATGCTCGTCTCCAAGAAAATTAGACAACATTCGCTATAATAGCTCTTAACAGCACCTGCACAGATAAGATGGCAAGGCCCTTGGGAACAGGACGTGCAGTCGAAACGTTACATTAACATGAGAGACGTGCTGAGCTTAACTAGGTTAACTACTGGACTGGAACTTCAAAAGTCAGCAAAGGGAATGATTCTAAAAAGAAAACCGAAGAAACCCCCACCAAACCTGGCCTCTTCCAGCTAGCACAGCCTTCATCCACTCTGTACATGGCAAAAAGCATCTTTTCATTTCATTGGGTCAAGTGCTTCATCAAAACAGAGATCTTTTCATGGCATAAATTCATATAAAAGACATCTAAGGTTTCATATGGACAAGCTCTAAAAAGACGCATCAGACTTGGGGTGTTTTCCCTCCCAACACATTTACAAATGTTTATCAAAAAATCTCTTCAAATAAAAAGATCATAGTGGCTCAGTATCTGGGCATGACTTTCTGGCATATCACCTCTCGTATGTGCTGGTTTCTTTCTGTCCTCGGCTGGTTGTGTGCCTGCGTGTAAGCACGCATCTACCAGGCGATCTGCTGTCGGTGTCACAGCCTGAGGCATGACACAGCCCACGATGTGCTGGTAGATTACAAGTGTGTACCTCTTGCTTTAGCCACGCATCAGAGGTACTTGCTTTTTAAATGATGTCCAACAGAAAGCTGAGCTGAATGGTGTTCTCTCCTGAACATCTCCTTGCTGCCCCCCTCTCTCTGGGCACAGAATGAGACCTTAATCATCATCATCACTGTTATTCCTAGGCTACGTAAGCCTTCTTAGATTTCCTAGTACATTACAACAGCATTGGATTGCGATAAACTGTAGGATACGGTCCTTTTAGGACCACAAAAGCTCTTCAGAAGGGCCTAAACTAGGTTGTTCAACCTGAATGCAATATAAGAAATTCTGACATTTCTCAGATCTCATGACAGAAAGAGAGGGATGAGTCTCTAGTATCCTCTTTCAAACGAATAAATTCAAAACAAAGTGTTTCATCGCTAAGGTCTAGATCCAGGTCCCACAGAAACAAACGATTTCACTGACTTCAAAGGGACTAGTGTTTGGTCTAACTTTTTGCCAGCAGG